TCAAATAAACATACTTCTAAGTGTTTGAATAGTATTCCTCTATGATAGAGTAGTTGTTGGTCGTATCGTTGTTGTCTTTGCATACATAGAATGATTTTTTTCTTGGACAAAGAAAGAAGATGCTGTTGGGTGAGAAGAAGTATTTGTTCGATTGATTTCTGCTAACGGTGAAAAATCGGAACTTTTTTCTATTTGTAGTAGAATAGTTCATTTTTTGAAAGAAATGATAAAAAATAAAACTCAATGTATTATTAAAATAATATTATTTGTTATGCAAATGAATCGTCAGGTAGATTTGCATGATCATTTTTTATTTTGTGTAGTCTTTTAATTAGTAAATTCATCATTGATAGAAAAGTTATACCTTTTATTTAAACTAGTAATGAAATGAATAAATTTAAATGTAAATTATATTTTTTGTCAGTGAAAATTGGTTGACATATTCTCGATGTAGACTTTATTTAAATATTCCAACGAAGAAAAATATCCAATAGTGTTGTTTTTCATGACACGAGGTTGTTTTTTGTAAGGTAAGAAAAAGAAATACAAATAACAAGACTTGACTTGCAAGGTTTTTGTTTTTCTTTTGCATGTGTAATAATAAATGATTCATCTAAAATAAATGTAAAAAAAAAAACTTCGTTTGCTTTGCGTTGTTCTCTATGCTTTACTAGTTGTGAAGTTGTTGTCTGAAAGATTAATATTTGTCTACTGATTAGAGCTGTCATATTCGTGTTAATTAAAATTATTTGTACCTTGTAATTTAAATTGAATTAATTTATTTTCTTTTTTTATGATACTTTATATAGGATTTATATCCTATTTTTAACATGATATGTATCTGAAAATTACGTAACACATAACTTTTTTCATTCAATGAATAAGTCCTAATCTGCTGAAAAACCCTATTCTTATGTAGCTATTACATTTATGATTTATGAAAAATATATTGAAACATTAAATCATATTTCGTCTATTAAATAGTTTTTATTTTGAAATTTGACGAAGACTTTTTCTCATACATATCATTATATTTATTGTATTCCATTTTTCTCTTATCGACGATATATGTTTTCTTCATGTTAATCACTAACGAGGAAACATATTCAATTATCGGACGCCGTTTAACCCCATCTTGTGGCTGTGATTAGAGTTCAGTGGAGCTAAGACAAGCCAAAGAGGGTTCGCGCCCATAGTGTGTCTAGGCAGAGATTTTATTGTCACATAGATGTAAGAAAATGGGTTTGAAAATTGTGTTTTTACTCTGAGGAGGCTTGTGTGTATGTGTGCGTAAATAGAAGACCCATACCCTCAACATTAATTCAGTGCATTTGACAACTGGATGATGTCATAACAACTATGCAGTCAAGATACTATGTATGGCCTAATTATCAAATTCCTGTATGCATTTAATTGGTGGTTAGTTTTTAGAAATGATCGTCTGATGGAGCTGGATGTCGATGTTGTTCAATCGGCTAGAATATATACTACCTTAGTGACTTTTATTATAACTAAAGCTGATTAACAAGTTTACATTGAATGAGAAGACAATTTCGATAGAAGCATGGAAATTATTTGAAGGTCATCATTCAATTAGCATTTTGTAACTCATCAAACCATTTTTACAATTTATTGTAGATTTATATTCAATCAGAGAAAAGTATGTATTCATCAATTCTCTGTTTATTATTACTAACAATATTGATATTGACCAATGGCCAGCGTTATCCACCAGATGGTCGAGGATTATGTCTTTGTAAATGCTGCCAAAGTAAAGATTGTCATGCGACAGAAACAAAAGGCAGTTTTGCACTTATTAATGGTAATCAATGTCATGATTCGAAATATGCTTGTACACCAATGAACTGTGCAAAACAATTTCCAACTATGTGTTCTTTACATCCAAATAATGGAAACATTCTTGCTGAATGTCGTCCAATGATTTCATAAACTATCTAACATTCATTTTATTTAATCCCAAAACATTTCGTATGTTCCATGCATGTTAAGTGTTCTTTGTCTCGAATAAACTATACTTTGCCAATTTTTATTTATTTACAATAAAATAATATATAAAAGATATATTAAGAGAGAGAATGAAAATATCTAGATAAATGAATATATATATGAGAATTGACAATAACTACATTCTGATGTTATCTATCTATACAAAACTTAATATATTTTCGATCATAATGATAACTTGTTTCACGAAATACTTTACGAAAGAAAGTATTGTACATGTATTAGGATAAAATGATTCTGAATAGTTAAAATATGATAGAACAATAGTTGTACTTTTAGTGCGAGACAAATATTTGAAGTATCTTTCGGAACACTTTATTATTGGCGTCAGCGAAAGATGTTTCAAAAACTAACGCTTATTCGATTAAGTAGCTTAACTGCTCACTAAATATATCCATGGACTTAGTAAAAACTGAAATGAATTTCGAATTTTCACCAATTTTGGAAAACTTATGGCTCCTCTGTATGACGCATTTTTTTATATTTTCAATGTATTGCATGTGAAATCAAAGATGTTCAATTTATAAGCAACCACGCTTTAAGCAAGTCGACTAACTTTCAGATGACTTCATAGGTTTGTATTAAAGCGGATGTTTATCCTAAATCAATTCGTCTTTCAAAATTATTGACTACGTATTAAAATGGATCGGATGAACTGTATTTATTTAAAGTTCAATAGTTTGAGAAGAATTTATCACTCGATTCACAGGCAACACATTTACCCGTTATTCACTTTCGGATGGTCATAATTCATTAATTTAACGTGACAAAAAGCGGAAACTTACACTGCAGTATAATATACGAAAGACCCAGTTTTACTAAACTTAACATTTCATTTGGTCGAACTATGACGACTCTAGAATAATAGAAAGTTATAGTAACGCATTCATTCAAAAAGTTTTTTTTCATTAAGGCGACTAAAAAGCTTACATTCCTAGAAAACTTCTTGCTCTGAAAGAAATGTTTTCATTTTTGTTTGTGACTAGGACAACAGACTTTGCGATGGTACAGTTATCTATTTGGAGCAACGCAGTCATTAGTTTCTTTTTTACAGTCACCAAAAAGCACTATTTTTTACAGATTTGACAACAATAGCAAGTGATTCATTGATGTCGAGCTATAGCGCATCCTCCAGTGATACTACTTTTATTTCCATTTTTTAAAATGATTAACTAATGTTTGAAATAGGATAGTACACAATAAGACCGTTTTTCTTGACCATTCTAGCATAAAAAATACTTGATTTTAGCTGGCGACTTTCATTTATTCCCGTCATTACTGAAAACAATTGACATACATCGGTAGGAAATATACAACGAAAATCTATACAATTCTTTGCATGAGTAGGTTCAGTCGCCTTATGTTCAACAAAATTTCTGCTCAACTTTGGCCAAGCATGTTTCATTTTAGCTGGATAAGCTGTAATGGTTTTAACCTAAAATTTCTCAGGATGTCTAAGACATGTTTAAGAAAATTTTCATGAAAATTCTGAAACAAAATCCTTATAGTCAATATTTGAAAAATTCTGTTGATGATTCGAAAATGTAGCGAAGCAATGATTTATCTTGGCTTCTAGAACATGTATCTGAAATCATATAAATTTTTCTTAGAGTCATCTAGAACTGTATTTATCTATAATGGCAAGACGAACTAGCATCATCATTTGTAGATATCCATCATAATTTTGAACAAAAATCGGACAATGAAAATAGATGATTTTTATAAATGACTTCTAGTGAATTTATTAGCATATAAAAGAAAACGATTTTCATTACAACATTCTTATTTTCATTTACTTTTTGATCCTATGATGCCATGATCGTCTTGAAAAACATTTTGGAGGTAGTGAACTTAAAAGACAAATTTTATTATATCGATACATAAAGTAAAAATATTAAATACTTTTTTCATGCTAAAATACGGTGTGAGTGATGAGAAAACTAGTACCTAAACTCACATCCAATCACACTTGCACTAACGCGAACACATCCATAACCTAATTCTTGCATAACTTTTTAGTACTCAGTATGTACTTTGAAACCATACAAATCCGACTTCTATAAACTCCATTTCTCGAGAGATCGAAATATCTCAAAGTCGTAATCTTGGTCAAAATTCTGATTTTCTGTAAAGTTTTCTGAACCATAGTAACTATCTAAATTGTTGAATTTTTTTAACAGAACAAATACTCAATGAGATCTTTGATACGTTAGTACAGTAGAAATTTCAAACCAAGCGGATTATTTTTGGCTAAAGTACAAATATTCCGAAAAAACTGCTTTTTCAGCGATCGTACTTTCAGAAAACTTTATGAATTTAGCTAAAACTTAACGATCTCATTTGAGCGGCTTATGCGAACTGACTCATAAAAAAAGATCAAGCATTTATAACAACCATTAACTGTCCTAATTGGCTTTTAATTCCTCTCAGATTGATTACTAATAGACATTCTAACGACATTCAATCAACATATATGCTGGTCACAAATTTCGTCTTTATATGACATAAACGCAGAATTTTCTAGCTTCAAAGAAATCATCTATATCGATTTTAATTAAGTTGAATAAAGACTTGTTTTAATTTTTAAATCTTATTCTTATAGAATGTGAATAAACCATTCATGCATTTTTCTTCAGTAAAATAATAATATCAACTTATGAAAACTATTTGTCTCAGTATTGGTTGTGAACATACCCATCATAAGAGAAGTAAACAGTGGTATATATGTGTTTATTTGAATCGAATTGAAGCCTTTATTAAAAATAGTACCAATGAAACTTGTTGTTTTTTTTCGAGCGGGAAAGAATTCTACATTATTCTGTTAGATATATTTCGTTATATTACAAACAAATATTCTTCTATAAACATATTTTTTTTATCAATTCATCAACTGATGACTTAAGTTCAAGTAGGTGTTTGATAAAATGAATAAGATACTCACATTAAAAGACATTTTAGACAAACACATATTTGATATGACAAAATTAGATTCACAAGTCTTTTTCAAATGGTTACCTATTATTATTATTCCTTTGTTGATCATTATAGTTTTTGGTTTATCGTATTGGATTTTCGCTCGTCGACGACGAAACAATCAAAATTCAAATAATAAAAATTCAGAAAAAGAATTTATAATCACAGAACCTGTTCATCACAAAATGCTACCAAAAAATGAATATTTATCGTCTCCAACTCAAATCGTGACAAAAAAAGCTTGGTCAACAAATTCAACTCAATTAAATAATACTGATAAGGCTTATCTTGATAAACTTTTTCGTACTGCAAGTGATCGATCAATGTGGAAACGAGATTATGTAACAAAAGATCAATATAATAAACTACGAAAAGTACCTTCAGGACAACTTCAACAGAAAAATTTATTTTCCAATTAAACATGTTTTTTTTTAAACATAATATCTTTCATTATATGTACAAATCAAGAAGCGTGTGTAAGTAAATGTTGTTTAAGTTTAGGCATTGTTGTAAACTTATTTGAACATCGATGACATTTTAATTCATTATCAAGAAGTTTTCCCATTCGTGTTGTATCAATACGAACAGAACCATTTGCTTGTAAATCATCAATAACTTGACTTGCATCAAGAAAATAACCGCTTGTGAAAGAATTCCAATGTTTTTTCTTAGAAAAGAAAAGAAAAGGAAAAATAAAATGCTAACAATAAGTCAAATAGTGATTTCTGTAGAGACTTCTGCTTTCAACAAGAATTTTCGAAGATAAAAATGATTGTTAGCTTTTTAAGTATAGAATCTTAAAAAAATCTAAATCCAAATTTTTCATCACTAGGAATTCGCAAATAAAATTTTGTTTGTATTATACAGAATGATAGAGCACCATAAAACTGATGTTTCTTTACGAAATTACCAAAGAAATGATTTGTATCTACCGTAAGTATATCTCGGTCAAAAAACATCGTAGAAAACTGAACTATATTTGATTATGTAGAAAATTAGTTGCTTCATCATTCGGAATAATTCAAATGGAGTTCTATTTGTGAATTTCAGGAGATGAAATACTTCGACTATAGTCGAACAATTTGAGTAGCTACTGTTTATATACATACTGTTTTTAAACTATCTGATATAAAATCTTGACTGATGACATGCATATGAAGAAGTGCCATTGATGGAATAGCATGATAACCATAACGAAAGTCAGTAAATGAACCACGAGCGTTAGCTTTTGCTACAGTTCTATGATTACTCAAACAATGCATAGTTAAAATAACGAAATGAATTAAATTACTTTTCAGCAACTTCTTTACCAACTTTAAGCATATGTTTGAGTAAAGGCAAATGAGTATCATTGATCGATTTAAGATTTGCAATATGTTCATTAGGCATAACAAGTAAATGAATACGAGCCTAAAACAACGAATAAATATTTAATTAATTGTTTTCTAAACATATGCTTTTTTCTATTACTGTCTAAATCATAGACAAATCTCAACTTTTAAAATAATTCAATTTCTATTATTTTTAAAATCATCCGTTACATTATTCATAACTCCATCTATTTCAAATGTAGATTTATTCACTATAGAAAACAATATTATTTCATTATCTTTTTTTATGATGAATATATCACTACAAAAACAATTAATCTACTTACTTTTGGATATTTATCTTTAATCACAGTACATAAATCATCTTTATATATTCGTACACTTTCATCATCTAAAGCTGTTGATAAACCGGCTGCCCAATGATTTCTTTTTGGTTGATTTTCATTAAGATTTTCCGATTGCATCTTTCGTTTAACGGTCGTTGATGATGATGGTGATGAAGAAGCCATTATTTCTAAATAACAGAATACAGGAAAAAGAAATTGTGCTATTTTCTGTTTCTGTAAATATATATTTGTAATTGCATCAAGATGATGTAATATTAGTCAATTTATTTCACAATTTAACACAGAAAAGAAAAAGGCAAAAAAAACAAGAACACATAAGCCAATAAACACACACAGTAATAATAATATAAGAAAATGCAACGAAAAGTGAATATATGTCTGAGAAATTGAATTATCATCAAAACAAAATTCATATGAACTATCTGACATTAATGTTTTAAACTGATGTTTCTGAATTAAGTTTTAAAACAAATTTATTTTGTTTTAAATCAAAAAATTTTTCAATTAAACGTATTCGTGGCATTTGATGAAATGTACATATTAATGCAATATGTTCGGCATGTTGTTGTTTCAGTACAAATATTAAATTTGAATATATTGATTGATTAATTGATATTGTTTTTCTTTGATTTTTTTCATTAATATATGATTGTGTATCACATATGATTGTCCATGATTGTTCAATAGTATGTTTTGTTGTTGATAATAATGCTGGAAATAATAATGTTGCTAATGGTTGAGATTCTGTTTGAATATAACGTTCAAGAAATGCTCGTGGTGATAAATTATGTGATAAACATGTTGATAAATGAGATATAATTGATTCTCGAGTAAAATATGGTTGTTGACGAGTTACTCGAAGATATTTTTGAAGTGAACGTGACATTGAAGAAAAAACAGCCTAAAAGAATATTTATAAAAGTATTATCAAAAATAAATATATAATTACTTGTGCTGCTTCTCGAGCATCCATTGGTATATGTGAGCCATATTTCTCATGAAGACATTTTCGTACATGTGTAAATGCATCTTCACATGAACCTAATAATTTTGTACGCCGTTTTCGTACACGACGTTCATAATCCAGTTCATCATAGAATCTAGAAAAATTAAAATTTCAATATAATATATAGAAATTTCTTTATGATTCTTTCTTAGTGCGATAACTCAAAACCTCTGTAATAATGTGAAAATTAAGATCGAGTGATATCTCGAACAACGAACATTAGTTACTTTCATAGTATTTCGTACATGCAATTTTTGAAGTTTAAACTATTTCTCGAAAACATAAATAAAACTCAAATAAAATAACCATCAAAAATAACTTTTTTTCATGCCTCAGAAATTCCTGACATTTACTGCTTATATCAAAATATAATACCGATCATTATATCCCTGCATCGAACGTCCAAGATCTCTATTAACATTAACACCAGTAGCAATAGTCGATGCATTTGATTGTGATCCAATAGATTTTGTTGAAAGTGTTCCATGTTGTCTTGATGGTGTTTGATGTATATTTTCCAACCATGGATTAAATACAGGAAAATCTTTATAATATTGTTCAAGTAAATAAATACTTGCTTCTTGTATTGACATTGAACCTAAACAAGAAAAAAAAAATCAAAATAGTTTTTTGATTAGATATTTACCAATTGTATATTGTCTTGTTTGTCCATCGGGTGATCGTACAACTTTAACAATCCATTTTGGATATAAACATTTAATTTCTAAGATCATAACAACTAATAACAATAAAAATAAAAGTAAATCTTCATATGTTGAAGTCATTAACAAAATTTTTTCATATTTATCAATATTTAGTTGTAATAATTTAAAAATATAATATAACCAATAAGTCAAAATAATTATTAGTAATATAATAATAAAAAATATTTTATGTAAATTTATACGTGGCAAATAAATTGTATTTCGTCGCCGATATAATAATAATAATGTACCAAGAAATACAAGTAAAAATTTAAAAATAATTGTTATTAAGAATGTATAATCATTAATAATTATTAAATCATATTGACTTAATAGATATGGTAATGTAAGAAATAATATAGGTGATATAAATGCAATTAGACAAATTAAATAAATAATAAAATGACAAATCATAATTGATCGTTTTCGATGATGAGTTTTTTTTGTTAGATGTTGATTAGGAATATTTAGTTGTAAACTTGTATCATTATTATTTGTTAATATATCTTCATTACCACCATTACATGTTATTGTTGTTGTTTCACCCCAATTATCATCTTGTGGAAGAATTTTAACTTCAATACGTTCATCCTGATTATCATTTGATGTTACATTATTATTATTATTTTGTTGTTTTTTATGATGATGATGTTGATGACGACGAGACGATGAACGTGTTTCATAATTATTAGTGTTCGATGATGAAACGATAGGAGGTACAATTGATTCTGTTGGATGAATTAAAGTAGGAGGTAACGTTGCAGAATTAACTATTCCACCGTATGTGTCTGGTTCCATGATCTATAATTATACATATATATACATATGATTCAATTCTAATATATAGGTTGATATCGAGATAATAAATTTTATGAAGAGATAATCATTATTAAGTATCTATATATAAATCAATCTCACAGATAACAATGTATTACAAGTCTTGAACATCAAACGATATATACAAAATGATGAATATGACTAATACTATCTTGTAGTTATTATAACTTCAAACATTGTTACCGATTCATTCAATTCAATAAATATCATTCTATATCATCAATCAAATCAAAGAACAACTGTGCTGCCTAGTCTATCTAGAATTGATTAGTATATACTTACATCAACTATAGTAGAACAGTAGTGTTGTTCTTCAAGATTGTTACTTTTCTTTACGAGTAACTCATATGCTATTTTTTTCCCAATTGTTGTCATCATTGTCGATCGATGATGTACGACAACTGTTTATGTTCAATCTTTATCGCCAACTGTACATATCCATGAAATTAACCATCTCGTATCTCTCTTTCTTCTGTTCATTGTCTCGAAGCGTTGTCATTTTTTACGCTGTCTCGATATTTAAGCACGCTTCAAACATTTCAAAATGTGTAAATTGTTCTAGTCAATATCAAAAAAATAACGAAGAAAAAATGTATATATTTAACTTCAATTATTTATTACGAATATATTGATATCTTATATATAACTTTATGCCATCTACGCAACAAAATCTCACATTCAAAAAAAAAATATATATACAACAAAATACTTATTTTTCATATAAACAAAAAATGATCAATGAGTTAAAAACTAAGAAATAAAGAGCTATAGACATTGATTGATTGATCACATACTAAACATATACTTATGTCTTATCTTATGCTAACCATCACACTTATGAATGCTTCGATTATGTTTTAATACGGATTATGTTTTATCTAGTTCAAACTTATTCTTTTTTTTTTAACGAGTTTAAACTGTAGAATTCATACGATTATCTGATTTTCTCTCTCTATTTTATTCATATGAGATTCTTACGTACAGTATAAAGTCGCTTGGTATTGACAGTAGACGCACGACGTTGTTCTTCCATATTAAATGAAAGTAAAATGATACAAAAAGAAAAAAAGTTTGTTTAATAAAGTTGAATGGAAGAAGAAGTAATGTATCACGTACACACTTTACAGATTTGCGATTGACCTCTGAGGAAAAAAAGAGAAGAAAAAAAAAATGAAAGTATTGTTCTTCAATAGAACAGGAGAGAAACTTGCATAATCAATAAAATGAATTCTTGTAATATACACCATCAGTCCGATTTTAACGCATAATGGCCCTTGAACAATACCGTTTTATATTCTTATTAGATACACATAGACAAAACAACGAAGTCTTTAGTCGCTGCAGCAATTACCGCATATCTGTTAACACTCATAGTAACAAGAAAACAAAAGAAAATAAAAAAAAAAAAGAGACCGAAAGAGCATTGAACAAACAAAGATGGATAATAGTAACAAAAGAATACATCTCGAAGGATCTATTGTCTAATGTTTAAGCAACAAAAAAAAGAAAACAAATGGAACATACATCACACTTACTTATTCAGAGAAACACTGACAGACAGATGATATAGATTGATTCATATTAAACAAAGACAAAGAATGAACAACGATTGGATAGCATATAAACAGAGACCAAAAGAATATAGCAATAGATAGAAACATATAATTCTTATTGATACTGTATGACATCTATAAGAAGAAAAACATTCATTTCGAATATATATGATATTATAATTTTGCGACGTACGTTACGTTAAACTATATGAAATAAAAAAGGAAACCGTATTGGTAATTTTATTTACCAATCGAATATCATAATCGAAATTTTTAGCTTTATTTTATTATACATCAATTGAAATGACGATAAGTCGTGCTGCATCATATTTTATTTCAACACCAATTTATTATGTTAATTCTAAACCTCATATAGGTCATCTTTATTCAAATTTACTTGCTGATACTATTGCACGATGGCAAGTAGTAAAACATCGTTCAGCACCGAAAATTATTTTTTCAACTGGAACAGATGAACATGGTTTAAAAATTGAACGAGCTGCATTAAGTGCTCAATTGTCACCTCTAGAATTTTGCAATCAAGTGACAAGTAGAAAAAAATTCTACAAAAAAAACAAAAAAAAAAAATTTATTCTTCTTTCATTTAGAAACATTTCGTAATATGTTTGATCAATTTGCAATTGAATATACAGATTATATTCGAACAACAGACAAAAAACATTGTCAAGCTGTTCAACATGTTTGGCAAGAATTATTAAAACAAAATCTTATTTATAAAGGAAGTTATGAAGGATGGTATTCAGTTCCAGATGAATGTTTTGTTAGCGAAGATGAAGTAAGCATAAGGTTAGTTTTTACTTTGATGTTTCAAATATTGAACAAAAAAAATTTTTTTTTTAAATATTAGATTGTAAAAGATCAAACAGGTCAAGCAAGAATTAAAGAATCAAATCGTCCTGTTGAATGGACAGAAGAAAAAAATTATATGTTTAAATTAAACCAATTTCATGAACGTATTGAACAATGGATAAAAGATAAAAAACCATTATATCCTATTAAATTTAATAAATTAGCATTGATACAATTAAATGAACTTAAAAAACAAGGTGATATTTCAATTTCACGTGAAACAACACGACTTTCATGGGGTATACAAGTAAGTTTAACATATGATTAATTTAAGTATATTATTCATTCAATTCAATAAGGTACCAAATGATTCATCACAAGTAGTATATGTTTGGATTGATGCACTTATTAATTATTTAACTGCTGTTGGTTATCCTGATCATATGATTCATTGGCCACCTAATTGTCAAATAATTGGTAAAGACATACTTCGATTTCATGCTATCTATTGGCCAGCATTACTTCTGGGACTTAATCTTGAATTACCAAGACAGATAGTTGTTCATGGACATTGGTTAAAAGATGATACAAAAATGTCAAAAAGTGTTGGTAAGTATTGTCCATTCGTAAAGTTAATGCGTATGACAACTTTTTGAATAACTCGACAATGAAAAGGAATAGAAACTTGTAGTTTTCACCATTCGAACAGTTCTTTCATGGCTGCTAGTAGACAGATATTTTTTTTCGTTGTCTTTTTCTATGAAGTTTCATAAACATTTCGACTCAAATTATACATAAATGTGGTTGAAACCATTCTATATTTGCAATAAAATTTTGAGTCGTTCTTGCGATGTTTTATTCCAACGAGGTTTTTTAAGAACATGAAAAAAGATAACGAAAAAAAAAAAATTGATCTAGAAGCAGCCTTGAAAGAGTGCTTCGAACCTACTGAATCTTATACAAATAGATACTCTATATTTCGCTCTATCGAATGGTGAAAACCGCAGATCTCTATTCATTTTTGTTTTCGAATTATTCAAAAAATAGTGACACGCACCGACTTTTTCGATATAGACAATAGTTTATTTCGTTTTCTTTTTTTTTGAATTTCTCTTATTTACAAATAAAAATATATAGGTAATGTAATTGATCCATCTGATTTATTATCTAAACTTCAATGCGATGGTGTTCGTTATTGTTTATTACGTGAAGATGTTCTATCACAAGATGCTAATTTTAATGAATATAAAATGAAAAAATATTTAAATGCTGAATTAGCAAATACCCTTGGAAATCTACTTAATCGTGTAACATCATTATCAATAAATCCTTCACATATTTATCCTTCAAGTCCTTCAAGTACATTTTCGTCATCAGCAACAGAACTTATTGATCAATGTATAAATCTACCATTACGTGTTAAAACAGCATATGATTCATATGAATTTTATCATGGTATTATTGCAATTATGGATGTCCTTCGTGCATGTAATGCTTATGTTCAACATGAACAACCTTGGGTATTAGTTAAATCAACGATAGAAAATGATCAACAACGTTTACAAATATTGATCTATTTAACACTTGAATGTTTACGTATTTGTGGTATACTTCTACAACCAATTGTTCCATCCATTACTAAACAATTACTTGATATACTTGACATTGATCAAAGTAAACGTACATTACATGATTGTAATGTTCTAATTGAACATAAAGAGAAAAAATTGAACATAATGAAGAATCAACGTATATCATTGTATCAACGTTTAACTATTGTTGAAAATGATGTGTAATAAATATATTAGTATCTTTACCATCTTCTTCTTTCTTTTTTTGTTATCAATGATAAATCAAGTTGTACGTACGAAAAATTAGTTCTGTGTTCTTGAGCAGTACATGCGTAAATTTTTCTTGTATTCAAAGTTTCATAATGTACATTACAAATGCATGTGTGCATTAAACTGTGACCAGATTGAAACGAAAAAAAAAAAAGAAAAAACGAAAAGAAACGAAGACAAAAGTACAAAACATATAGACTGCGAGATAAAGATGCTCATTATAAATAAGGTGATTCTTTTTCTAATTCTTGACACTGTTTGTCATTGACAACGACAACCGCAAGGTGAAAGCTGATGTTCGATATTTGTTGATAAATTGAATAAGACAACAAGTAGTAAGCATATTTATTATGGGTATTGGTTCATCTTCTCGAAATAATGTCTTACGTTCTAGTAAAACGATTCCAATTTTATTTATGTAATTAATAAACGTCTTTGTATTGTTCTGTTGTATAGAATCATCATTCATTGTTCGTGGTCGTAAGTATCGTATATTAGATACAATCGGTCAAGGTGGCGAAGCAACTGTATATCGATGTGAAGATAAAAGTGGTTCTCAATATGCTGTTAAAGTGTTTTATTTTTTACGATTTCCACCTTCTCAGAGACGTCAACGAGTTGATGGATTTATGAAAGAAGCACGTATTTTGACATATCTAAGGGGACGTTCACCACATTTTATTGATTTGATTGATCATGAATATCGATCTAACGAAAATACTGGTTATATGATTATGGAATTAGGTCATGGTAGTTTAAGACAATATATGCCAGGAATGCCATTGAATGAACCACTTCGACGAATGTTTTGGCAACAGCTTGTTGCCATTTTGGCAGGTCTTGAAGATGCTAAAATTGGTAATTGAACAAAAACAAACAAAGAAACATTTTAATATTAATGAGTATTTCCTGTCTTTTTATCTGTATTTGCAGTACATGCTGATATCAAACCTGAAAATTTACTTCTAGTAAATGGTATCCTCAAAATAACTGATCTAAGTCTTGCTTTTCCATTAAGTTCGACAAACCTAGCTTATCGACAGCCACAGGTTCGCGGCACTTTAGGTATATACACTTGAAGATTCCATTATCAAAAAAAAAATAGTATGTATATATATCATCTATTAATCATAGATTACATGGCACCTGAAGTTTTTTCGCATCACACAAGTTTCAAATCAGATGTATGGTCAGCAGGTATTATTCTCTATGAAATGACCTATGGTCGCCCTCCATATTTTGGTGTTTTTGATCGGCATGAAAAAGTAGAAGTCATTGCAGCAATGACACCTATTAATTTTCCTCCAATGGACGATTTATATTTAGTTAATCTTATGCAACAATGTCTCACTTTCGATGCTCGTTTGAGACCGAGTGCATATCATTTACTAGACCATCCATATACAAATATGTAATATAAGGGATAACTTTCTTATTTCTATTTTCTTCTCTATTAATATATGAAATAATCTTCTTCTATGTAAGAAGGTATTGTTACAAATATTTATACATAGAGTAAATTTTCTTTTTTTGATTTTCTACATGAAGCACTTGGTTTTCATCTTTTTAAGATGTCACTATTAAACAGTTATGTTATTATGTGTGTATTCTTTATCGAATTACTGTTTTTTTTTCAATACACTGGTTTTATGTTATTCGTTTCGTTCTTTATTATGCTTAAATCATTGAAAACAAGGTTTTGTTTTGTTCTTGTTTGTGCTCAGATTTGTCATTCAATCTACAAATAAAAGAGTCGTTTAGTATTTTTTTTTGAGTGTGGGCGTGTCTTTTCTTTTGCGTCTTTCATTTATTCGTGAAACTATCAGACAAAATTATCTGTTATATTTATTCTTTTTAAGTTATTTTTGTCATAGGTTGAAACTACTGATTACTCATATAATATATAAAACAACACTTATCTTTTTTTTATTCGATAAAGTCACATGTCATCGAAACTTTCCAATTGTTCTCGAAGTTCTAGAATAGTATGTCACAATATATAAGTACTTAAACGAATTCACTTTTTTTTGTGCACATCAATTACATGTAAGTTATGATATTCATCAAAAACTCTAATAGTTTTTTTTTAAGGGCTGGTTATTCAATTCGGAATACATAAATAATTAGTTTTAAGGCATTGTCATATTATAAAAAATTCAATTTATTTTGACTAACATGAAACTATATATTTAAATAATAAGATTATAATAATAGCAGACATTAATAATTGGTTTTTTTTTTAAAAACATAGTTAGAAAGATATCAATATAATTAGAAATATTATGAACAAAAGAATTTGGAGCATTCTAATTTATAACAAGAAAAAAATTCAAACATATTATTATGATAGTCAAACTTAGTTTGTATCAGTTATTAAAAGATAATTTTCGTTAGAGCTGACTAAATATGAATTTTGTTGAATACAACAAATATAGGACTTGAGTACGAATATGAATACGAATAATAGAAATATCATGCTCAAGTACAAGTATGTACTCATATTTGCCTGGTTGTAGTTTTCATTATTTGATCAAGTCAAATTTTCGTAAACAAATGTATATTCAGTTTCGCTTATAAAGATTATTACATAAAACTTATTGTGTTGAGTGTTTGATTGATAATCCAAAATAACTCATTGATTATCTATTTAAATAAAGAATTTATTTTAAAAAAGCAAAAGAAAATATCGTATAAAATTCGTGTCACATATATATATGCATATTATTTATTCTAGATATTAAATTAATCTTATTGAATAAAATGTCTCAAACAAATGCATTTTCTTTTGTTGAAAATGTTAATCAATTTCGTCCCGATGGTAAAACAATTAGATCAGACAGATTTAATTTAGAAACGCTTTTTGATTTTTCAACTTTGTAAATATGAAATTTTTATATTTTAATTTTTGTTATTTTTTGAATAATTCTGTTTATTTTCTTTAGACAACCAAGAGTTCAAACACATCTTAAAAATGTTTATACTAGTTTATTAATTACTACAGTATGTGCTGCAATAGGTGTTTATTTACCTATGATAGGTTGGCTTAATTATCCTCGTTTGGCTATATTTGCATCCATAATAACAAGTATTTGGCTTTTTACGATCGATTTTAATGCTCGTACACAAATAAAATGTTTTGGATTAATGTCAACAACAGCTTTATTCATTGGTATTTATTTAAGTCCATTAATCAATTTAGCTATTCATGTTGATCCACAAATTGTTATAACAGCATTTTTATTGACAACAATTATTTTTATTTGTTTTACACTTAGCGCATTACTTACACGAAAACGAACATATTTATATTTAGGAGGTCAGAAAACTCAAATTGAAAACACTAAAATAAGATATGTTGGTTCTTTTAATTTAGGTTTACTTGGTACAGGTACATCAGTTATGCTTTTACTTAGTTTAATGAATTTATTTGGACAATCACAACTTATTTTTAATGTAAATATAAAGAAAAAAAGATTATTTCATATTGAAAATATCTTGTTGTTGTTAATTTAGGTTAATCTTTATCTTGGTTTATTTATTGCATGTGGTTATATTTTGTATGATACTCAATTAATTGTTGAACGAGCTGTTCAAGGTGATATGAATTATGTTAAGTAAGTAAAAAAAGAAAATAATAGCTTTCATTTGGTTTTTTAAAAACAATAGCTTATTGTAATATGGATAAGTTTTGGAAGATATCTTTTTTGTGTTTGTTCGAATATAAAAAGAATATAAATTTCTGTTTTTTGTTGTTTTTTTTTTGTATTGATTATTTATATATATATTTAGACATGCAATTCTTCTATTCATTGATATGGTTGACTTGTTCGTCCGTATTCTCATAATCTTACTTAAAAATGTACGTAGTTGTTATTCATACTGATAGCTATTTATTTCTTTTATCTATATACATTTATCTATTTTCTTTATAGTCACAAAATAAAAATAAGAAAAACAACAATCGTTAAAAATGTTCGATTTATGTACAAATATAATCGCTTGAATGAAGTATGCAAAAAAACAACATATAACTATCGTGTTTTTTTCTTTCTCTCTTGTCGATTGTATGTCATACTTTTTGTGAATTAGTAACTTTTTTCAAAATAATCATTTTGTATATTTAATCAAGTGTGATGATATTCGGTTTTTATCTAGTGACGCATATGTCTGTTTTTGAAACGTAAGAAAAATAAACTCTTGCATAACATAAATAATATATATTAGTCAACTAAAGAAAATCAAAAAGGTAATAAAGGACAAGTATTGGAATAGCTTGTTTTTTATGTATTTTTTTTTGCTGTTGCATAAAGCTACTTGTGATCATTACGAAAAAAAGACATCGCATTAATCAATCGTTTGCAATGACAAGGAAGACAACAGCTAATGGTGATGTCAATATAAAAGATAATATTATAGATTAGTGAGTTTCTGTTTCTTTAATGTATTTTTTAACAACGACACAGCAATATAATATCAAAAATAGTGAAGAGAAAAAAAACAACATTACATAAAATTTTATGATCGTAAAATTATTCATCTAGATGTAAAAGATAAAGCATGTTGATTGACCAATCAAATATGCTTTAAATTTAAACTATACAAAAAAAAAGAAATTTACTACTACATATTAATGCATGTATTCTCAATATGAACTATAAGAATATCGAATTACAACATGTTCCTATCAAAATAGGTTTTATTCAATAGTTGTTCTAAATCAACAAAGAAAGAACAGCTGGTCATGTTGCTGTTATTGTCTCTGTCTCTCTGAAAGAATATATTCTTTCAAAAAAAAAAAAAATAACATTACATCTGTCTCAATATTTAATTGAAATTGGCTTGATATTTTATAGACATAATGAAATTTTTTACGCTTATTCTTACATTATATTTATAGGAAAAAGTGTCATTGATCAATATTGGTTTAACTGGATGTTTTTATTAGATTTATTTTTGTTCGGTTTCTTTTCTAAACGAGTATAAATATCAATAGAATTTTTTCATAATAAATTGAATAGAATCTTTAATCATGCCAACAGGAAGTAGAACATATTATTTGAACTGAATGGTGAATATGACATTGTTACATTGTTTCCTATTCTATTGAAAAAGAAAAAAAAACGCAGAGAAAGACGTGCTTGCACATATAGCATCATAACCATTGTGCTTACTTCAGTCTGTTACCAATAGTAAAACAGATAGGAAAAAAAGCGGCAAGGCAAAGAAAAAAAAACCGAAAGGAAGAACATATATATGCATACATCCTATCAAAATTTGATCTCAAACGATTGCAAGCATTCGCTCACCAACTAACATGAACAGTTGTCTTATTTCACTTTTTTCACCAATTTATAATTTATCATTTTCGACTTATTCTATATTAACATACTTGAGTGTATACACATATATTATTTCATGCGTTACAAGACTCATCATTATATACTATATTCTTACTGCTAGGTAAACACTCGGATTTTTTTTTCTTTCAGTATATACATTATACATTTTTGCTTGTACACAAAGCGAGCAAGTCTAACCTGTCATTTGTGAGATTTGCATCAACGTCAACACGACATTTTATTCACAACACTGCCACCAACATGTAAGTTTCGTATTTCTTATTCAAGGTCTTTTCTAATGTATTCATATTATTTTTTTCGAAACATATCAGTTAACATAATAGACCAAAGAGAGTTCTTTTAAGTAAGCAATCAATCATAATCAAAATTAAAAGAACGATTGTAGAACGTTCAATATCGATCAATTGATTCTTTCTTCATCAACAGAACAAAAGCTTATTTCTTTTTTTGCTTTACATTTTGTCGAACATATTAATATAATGAGTAATTATACTATGGTTATTCAACCATAAAAATGAAAAGAGTACTTCTATATGATCATATTGCGAAAGAATATCATTATGACTTTTCGTTCATATCATATAACTTGATATGTTCTACTCATTATTGATAATCATATATTAAGATGATGAAAGAACGAAAGCAGAAAAAAGAACTCCAATCATATAGTTATCAAAATATTATTCAATAGAATTGAAGAAAAAATGTCAATCATTGCTAAATAACCTAAAAAATTGTGTATTATAATATATTTAATATAAAGAAGCGATTTATATTTTTGATTTAAAGAAAGATTAATACAAAAAAAAAAGAATAGTCTCAATAAGCGATCCGATGGTCATATAGTACCTCTGATTAAAATAAACGATATTTATTAGTTTTCGATGATTTCTCTTTACTATTGTCAGTTGATCTTATATTTATACCATAGATATATGTTTCATAATTTAACTTATTATGAGAGTTTCAGATGTAAAAAATAAGAATTTATTAAGAAAAATACCAGCACATAAGGCATTTATTCAAGCAGCAATACAAAAAAAACAAAATTTTGCGTTTTTCTTGCTGAATGCTGTTTCTTTTGTTCTTAATCGATTTACAACAACATTAATTTTTGATGAATGAATTCATTTCTAGAGATTTGATTCCCATGAGTCTTGTGAAGAGATCTATCCAAAAGTTTTGCCATTAAAATAAACAATAATATAGACAAAACTAATAACTAATATGGTATAATAAAATAATAAAATCATGATTAGTATAGACGTCATATCCTAACAAAGGTATTAATTAATGATATAATCTCAATGGATCAAAGACACTCACATAAGATTTAAGCTTTTTTTGCATACAATTTCATAAAGAATATTCTAAAAATTATATTATATATATGAATACAAAATACTGCTCAATTAAATGTATTATTGGTATAATTCTATAATGATTTTATTATATCAGCTGATATGATATTTAAAAAAATTGCGTTAAATTAAAACGATTTGATTGTTATCTATCGATAAAATTCACAAATTTTCTTTTATAACACATAACAACTCTAAATAACTCTACACAAAGATTATGTTTAAGATTATATTGTCCCTTTCAACAGTATTTATCTTCGTCAAAAATACAAACATAACAATTGATGTTTGATAAAACCGTATCAAATTTTGCCTTAAGTATCTCTTCTAAAAATTAACATATGAAACAATATTCAAATTTGAAAAATTTCAAAGAAATATACAAAATGTTTGTTAAGTAAATCGAAATAAAAGTTTGAAGAAAAAACTTTCGATTTAACTCCGTTTGCTATGAAATTTATGTGTTGCTCAGAACATAGTCGTATGCATATTGATTGATTTTAGCGATTTATATATAATAGGATCATATTTCATGTTAATGTCTAATCATAGGTAGATTAAGTGCAGAGAAGAAATTGTTGCGTTTTTCTCTAAATCGTTTTTTATGTCAACGATCGATCTTCGAACAAATTATTTTTTCAGCATACTTTGCTCTAGAGAATTCTGAATCTTTTTGTCCGATAATATGTTATTTGTTTCTTTCAGTAAGGAGAAAGTATTCTTCGATTAGATTCATGTAATCGAGATATGATGAATAAGAAATGACATTTGTAAATTTTTGAAATTTTAACTCTGTAGGATAACAAAAATACCATACAAATCAAAGGAGTCTTTTTTCTCATTAAAATAGGTACGAAGCACTCATAAAAATACAAATAGCTCGAAATATGTAATTGAAAGTATATTGGAAAAGAATTTGCATACGTAAAGACCAATTTTGGACCTTAATCGCTTTTGAAGAATCCTTGTATAATGAGATATAGACATGTGACTGAATGTCACAGAAATAACCCATGAAAAAGAGAATAGAATGTCTCGATCATATTTTTCTTGAATGAATAAAATTATTTTCGCAATGACAGAAAAGAGTTCAAGGTTTATTTTTCGATTAATTGAAAAAAAACGACCAGTTTAGTAATATCACTTACAACTATTATCATGTACTTAGATGCAAAATATCTACATTGTATAACAAAGATAAATAATAAATTTTAGTCTTCTGTAACATTATTTCAATTGTCATGTTTTTAAATTTTCTCCTTTTTTTTTAAATAATTTACTTGCAATCTTTGAGTTTTCGCTAGTTTATCTGGCTTCATTAGATTCTCCCCGAAGTTCTTGCACAGATAAATCTCTAGAAACCTGTACGACTTCAGTTTACTTTTGTTTGAGTACTTGTATGAGTAGTGAGCTGCAAGGATATGAAGGTATCCGAAAACTTTTTGATATGTACTATCTCTTTATAGTTTTTCTTCATTGATGATCATTTCAATGAAAAAAAATGTCGATTTTCATCAAAAAATGACGTTGCTGAGCTCAAAATTCTGAAAAACATCATATTGCTCTAAAGTTCTAGAGCAATTTAACCTTTAGCCAATATTTCAACCTTAGCGCCTTCATCTGTTGATAAAAATAGGATAAACCTTTTTATCCGAATAATCAACAAAAAAATCTCTACAAAATCAAATATGTCAAAACATACATTATCAGATCTTTGCATTTCTTGTGATTAACTATTAATGGAAGTACTAGAAAGAAAGAAAAACGGACAACTATTAGATTGAAGTAGATGATGCTAAATTTTAAATATGTCAATAAGCTGATGATTTATTCATAAAAATCTGCAACTTTCCTCTATAATCAGGAAGCAAAAAAATTAGATCATGTCGTCAATATATGATGAATATATTTCATTATTTATTTGCTACGTTATTTGAGAGACAATCGGTACTTTTATGTGTCTAACAGTTATGGAAAGTTTTACAAAAATCATTTGTGTCATATAAAAAATGATATTAAAATTGACGAAGGGACAATCTGAAAAATTAGCAAAGAACATGATATAAGCAATGCATATGCTTACAATATAACGAACATTTCAGAAATAAAACTAATATTGGTCCTTAAAGAAATATGTTAGATAGTAATATGAAGTGTTTTTCTTTTTTCTCTATTCATCATATACGTGTGTGATTTTTTCCTTCTGTCTAACTGTTATTTATGTGTCATCCTTTCTGTCATATATTTATGTAACTTTCTCTTTCTGTTCGATCGCTAGGATTTGTTTCCTATATCTTGTATGGATTTCTCCAACATAACGAGTTGTTCATCATCGTATATATAGCTGTGATTTCCCTATAATTAACAAGACATTGTGTGATAGTGTAAAATCATCCTTTGTCAATAACAGATTGAATTTGGGAAAACGTCAAATCTATCAAATAATTCAAACTCATAATAAATGTGTTAAATTCATGATTAATAAATATTTTTTCCTTTGATTTTATTAAAACATTAATTCATGGTTATACTGACATACTAGTTAAATACGGAGAAGTCATCTAGCTCTAATGAAAATTACTTAATCTTTACTTCAGTCTTTTTGAGAACAGTGGAATTTAACATCTATTTGTTGAATAATTTCTATGAGCACTATCATTATCAGAAATAAAAGCATGCAATAAAAGATCTGTTTCTTTGTATATCCTTTGTATACTTACTTAATTACACTTGTACCAGTCAACCTTACTTTACGAAATGAATTTACACGTAACTAATTACGTAGGAATAAAATATTTCACTTTAATTATAACTTGATAACGTCATAGGCCACTCATTGTTTTTCTTTCTGATTTTTTTAACCATCTAGTTCTATTTCGTTTTATATTACGTTCGAAATCAATTAGTTAAAATCATTGATGAATGATAATACTTGTTCTCTTGTATATTCATCGATATAATATACGAATGTATGATGGTAGTACAAGTTGCGTTGTTGTAGGCACTAAATATAAACCTTGTTATGGTCGAATAAGTCGGTTCTTTGAATTAGTTTTGATTAGTAATACGTTTTCTGTTCGAAACCTATTACATCACTGACAAGTATGACGAGAAATATAAAGGTTTATCAGTACACCTCACATATACGAACATATATTAGTTTTTTACAGCTTCAAAATCCTAATCATTTGAATTAATATCGAGACAAATTAGTAAGTCAAGCTTCTTTTTTTTAATTTTTAATAATTTTTAATTTTATCATATATTAATATGGTTTTTAATATTTTCTAGGTCGGAATTTAGTACGAAAAAAGTTCGAAAGGATAATAACAATTCGAAAAAGAATCGTTCATCAACAGCATCACATCCATCACTTGTAGATGAAACAGAAAAACAAATGGAGATGCAATTAATAGATTCATCACCTCCATCACCTGAGATAAGACAGCCTAATAAGGTAATTGTAACATAATTCTAGATTTGTTGTTTTTTCTTTTAGAGTTTTTTTAATATAAAATTTAAAATAAAAGTAATGATGAATATATTTATTGAACTTCTCTATTCATCTTAAAAAGAACATTTTTGATCTAATAAATGCATTATCCAAATATAGCTGCAATACTAACGAATCAAATAAATGATGATGATGATGATGACTGGCAGATTCAGATGAGAAACGACAGCGGAATAACAACAAACAGCAACAGCAAAGAAAACGTTATAACCATACACTACTAATTCTATCGCGTGTATATTATCAGTGGCAAAGTTATATGCGATGCCGACCAAGTGATGTAGCAATAGATAGGAGATGTTCGAAGCAAGAAAAGAAGAAAAAGAATGATGCCTAACTTAGAATATTCTGGTGTACAGTTAGTTGATTACCTCAAACAGCAGAATATATCCTCTTCGCTTCCCTGTATCGTTATAGTGTGTTCGATAGGAAATAAGAATTTTCTGTAACTTTGATAGGAAAGAGAAAGATTCTTATTTGAAAACTATTTTAAAATTCAACAAGTAATTGATATTTTTGTTTTGAATAATAGATAAATAAGTTTTTAGATATAAGCATAATTAAGATGTATATCAGAGGTTTCCCTTTTCTTTTGGTCCCTTATTAACTTTCTTTGCATTATCTATCGTCATGGTATACAACAAATCCAGAACACAAAAAAAAAAAGGAAAACTCTCATTCTTCATTAGTGCAGCTATATGATATAGAGATGAGTGGCACACTCTTCTTATTATAGAATTTATAGTGAGTTTAAAGCCATAGTTTCATTTTGTGTTGTTATTGTCGTCGAGAAATGTCGGCAATATTCACGCTTAATATGCAAATATTATCATCAACAGAAAAATAGATGAAACTATGCTTATGCTTCTCTATATAATACGCATTTTTTTGTATTCATCTTCTTTGTTTTCTTGGAATCAGACATATCCATATAATAAATCAGGTAAGCTTATTTTTTCAATTTTGTTAGTATCATGTACATAAATATATGATACATACAATGAAATAACAAAAGAAAAAATAATATAGAAGATAATTAAATTGTAATTGAAGCAAAATTTAGGTTTTTGTGTTCAGGTTCTATAAATTCTATTGTGATTTGATTTAGATGCCGTTTAGAAAAAAATCATCGGCAAAAGCAACTGATGGTGGTGATTCATCAATGTTTGATCTAACGGTTAATCAATTAATAGAATTAATGGAATTACATGGAAAAGATTTAATTGAAAAATTAAATTCACCTCCATATAATGGTGTTAAAGGAATTTTAGAAAAATTAAAAGTGAATGGTAATAAAGGACTTGATTCAATTAATCAAGAAGATCTTGAACAACGTCGTGCAATCTATGGAAGAAATGAAATACCACCAAAACCAATGAAATCATTTTTAAAATTATGTTGGGAGGCACTTCATGATATGTTATTAGTTATATTATTAGTCTGTGCTGTCGTTTCAATCGGTCTTTCATTTTATGAACCACCCCACCCCAAAGATCAAGTTAAAGAAAAAGAACGTATGTAGATAAGCTTTTTTTTCCCTGTTATTACATCATTAGGTCTGAATTGAATTAGACGAGAATAAACATAGAGAGTGCGATTGACGCTGAGTATGTTGATTGATTTCTTTGACTACCAGATAAATACTTGTGCTGATCGATTACGACTCATGTTGTCGATAAGGCATTGTTTCTCATTATCATTTATCTCATCTCCTCTCTTCGTCATTCGTTTGTTCTTTCTTATTTCTTTTGTTATTATAAAAGATAAAATGTTATGCATGTCTATATACGGGTTCAATGCCTTATTTTCATGCCAACTTTTCTCAAGAGATCACCATAGTGTAGTTACGGATGCTATTGATCAAAAAACATTTCCAGAACATTGATAAAAAAAATAAATCATCTATAGACATCATCTCATGTTATTTAAGTATAAGCAAATGTTTACATTTAACATTAAAAAAAAATGGAAGCAATAACTTATCCATTATTGACGATAGGAGAAAAAAATCTTAATTAATAACAATTTTTGATATTCTATATTAATGCAGAATATGATCTTAAAAAAAAAAAGAGAATATTTACTATTAACTTTTAAATAAGTCGAATTTAAACGTAGATAATATGCTTTGTTTTCCATGGTATCTTCTCTTTTTTTAGCAAATCTTGAATGGATTGAAGGTGTTGCAATTCTTGTTGCTGTTCTTGTCGTCGTATTCGTTACTGCATTTAATGATTGGCGAAAAGAACGACAATTTCGTGGTTTACAAAATAAAATTGAAAAAGATCAAAAAGCATCTGTTGTACGAGATGATCATATACAACAAATACCTGTTACAGACCTTGTTGTTGGTGATCTATGCTTTATTAAATATGGTAAAATTTCGAATACAAAAAAATTTTCTTAATTTTCTTTTGAAATTGTTTTATCCAGGTGATCTTTTACCAGCTGATGGAGTTTTAGTTCAATCAAGTGACATTAAAATCGATGAATCTTCTTTAACAGGTAAAAAAAGACATTTTTTTTTCTTCTGAAAATTATGAGAAATGATAAAAAAAAACTTTTTGCTTTTTCGTTTTCTTCAGGAGAAACAGATTTAATAAAAAAAGGTGAAGATGGAGATGTTGGATTATCATCAGGTACACAAGTTATGGAAGGTAGTGGTAGAATGATAGTTCTTGGTGTTGGACTTAATTCTCAAGTTGGAAGAATAATGAGTTTACTTGGTGCAACAGGAGAAGAAAAAAAAACAAAAGTTAAAAAAAATGATAGAAAATCTAAAACAACAACGTTATCAACACCAAAAACTCCATCTGATTTACCAAAAGAAAATGTATATATTGAAGATGAAACAAAACTAGGAACATCAGTAACATCTGAAAAACAATCATCTGCAGATAGTAAAAAACAATCTAAAAAACAGAAAAAAAAAGATGTACCTGTACCAACTGAAGATACAGAAGATGATGATATTGAATCAGCTGATGCTAAACATAAATGTAAATATAAAAAAGAAACAAAAATTATATCATTTGAAAAATAAAATTATTTTTTTAGCGGTTCTTCAATCGAAATTAACTACTCTAGCTTTATTTATTGGTTATATTGGTAAAGTTTTATTATTATTATTATTTCTTTTTAGAATTCAGAAGAATTGTTTTTTTTTTTGTAGGTATGGCGGCTGCTACTTTAACATTAATTTGTTTGATCGTTCGTTATTGTATTACAACTTATGTCATTAATAAACAAAAAGCTTCAGGAACTGATGTCGGTTATTTTATTTCATTTCTTATTCAAGCTATTACAGTCGTCGTTGTTTCAGTACCAGAAGGTAATATTCATTTATTTTTACATTTAACAAGAAGAAAAGAGTTTTTTTTTTATTTCTACATAAATAGGTCTTCCATTGGCTGTAACACTTGCTCTTGCTTATGCTGTTCGAGTTAGTAAAAAAAAAAACGTTCGTAATAAATCTGATCATTATCTTGATTTTATATTTTTTTAGAAAATGATGACAGATAATAATCTTGTTCGACATTTAAATGCTTGTGAAACAATGGGAAATGCATCAACAATATGTTCAGATAAAACAGGAACATTAACAACGAATCGTATGACTGTTGTACAATCCTATATTACTGGTAGGTCAGCATAGAAATGATTAGATATTGTATGATCTGGATAATCTACAGATAAAAATAGTCTTTACACAATATGTTTGGTCTATGAAAATAATGAAAAATAATCAACTAGAATCTGAATTTCATACTTTTTGTAATTATGTATTCAGAATTCTTTTTTTTTTTTTGATTTAAAATTAGTTCATTGAGAAAAATTCCTTGATTGCGATCAAAAACGATGTTCATGCAAAATTTAAAATTACAATGTGTTGATAAACATATTTGCTCATATTTAGGACACTGAGATGTTATTGGAGAGAATCAAAAGCTGCTAATTAGGATCAAAATTTCATGCTTTTTCTATATGCTTGTTCAGAGCTTTTTGTTTTGTAACTAAAGATTGATGAATTGTAAGCAAACCCTTAAAATAAATCAAAAATGTTGTTTGCATTTAGTAAAATAGGCTTTTTATCTGTCGTTCATAGTGTTTCTGAAGAAGAATTTAGGTTTTTTAGTCTTTGTCCTTTGGTAGAAAATCTCATTTTCTGCAAAATTATGAATTATTGAAAATTAGAATACAAAAGAATTAAAAGCTATAAACGTTTTTGAATAGTTATTCTTCATACGAGACGACATTTCTCAAGAAAAACATCGTCTCTTTTTAGATTTTCATCGTTTATATTGATTTGTGAAAAAAAAACTAAAATAAGCAAATCAAATATTTTGTAGAGCAAGTATTACTCTACAAACGAGTATGTAAAAAAAAAAAACTTTCTTATAGTTTGTATTGAAACAGTTTTAATCAAACTACAAAACTGAACTATATGCAAAGTTGTATATTGATGAAAAATTTGAAGTTCATCGAAGTTTTTCTCTCAAGAAACTAACTGCAAGGCAGAAGAAAAGGAACTCTGACTATATCATTGGATATACCATGCAATTTTAGTAATAACGAATTACTTTTAATTTTCTTCGGTGACTTATAAATGAACGAAAATTGAATAGAAATCTTTTGTAGAGACTTTTTTTACACAAGTACGTTATGTTTCATCTTCTAGCAGGGCAATGAATGTTAATAGAGTCGCGAAAGTTGAATGTCGACGATGTTCGTTATGCGACAAGTAGTCTCACATAATTAGTTTGACATCACGTTTTTATTCTAATGTATCATTGGGACATTATTATGCGGCATTTATCGACATTTGCACGGAAACTCAAGTCATTTAGCGAGAAAAGATTTGATAAGGTTATCTTTCTATTTACAGCTAGCATTCGATGATTGACATACTTTGGTGTTTATTTTTGTTTCTTCCAACTTCTGAATTTACTATATAAGTTAAGCATCTTTTCAATTGATACTATGTTTTAAATTAATGAATTAAACAATAGATATTAGGCAACTTACAAATAAAGGAGAGAGCCGTAAACAGGAGGTACTCAACATATGAGAAACAGTATTTTTGATTAGCAATTCTTTTCAAGTAGCAAATTTTCATTATGTATTCTTGGATGTTTCTACATGATCTACACAAGCCCTCATCCAACTTTGGCACTTTATTTTCAGAAAAGTAGCTATTTATTGTATAATTAACGGACTTAATGGACAGAAGACATTTATTTGTAGAAAAAATTCCATAACTATTTAAAAATATGATTCTTCTCCAGATTGACGACATTCTATACAATATTTTGGTCTAAGTAACAAAGAACATCAAAGAATGTCGATGCCGTAGCATCGCTGTTCTGAAGAAGTACCACTTTGGTTCTTATCCAAAACTAACGACACCCTTAACTAATTGGTCTAATTGACAATGGAGAAGAGTACAGAGGAAAGGTGAGGGTGTCATCGATCTAGAGAAGCACTTATATTTTATTGACAAATAATAATGCGAAATGACTGCCGAGAAAAGTTGGTGATGAAAATTATTATCACCCCAAAATATATCGATATGGGAGATACATAAAGGACGATAAATGAAAAAAAACTAAGATTAAGGCTTATCTATGGAACATACATGTATTAGATAGCCATTAATAGGCAAAAATAATCAGAAAGCCAACAAACTTTCCCGTTTTCAATTATTCCCTGGAGACGAAAATAATTGATCGAATTACAATACAAACTTTACCATAAGTTGTTCTTAAGAATCTCTAAACAGTGAAGTGTGTTCATCTTTTAAAAATAATTAGAATAAGAAAAAATTATTTCATAATTTCAATTGGATCTTCGGTTGTATTTGAACATGTTAGGGCTCATTTCTTTTTTGAACACTATTATTTTTGTTTTCGTTTATTTAATGTATCTTTGTACCAGGAAAACATAGTGAACAATTACCAAAAGCAGAAGAAATGAATCAAGAAGTATTACCATTACTTTTTGAAGCTATATCTGTTAATACAAATTATACATCAAAAATAGAGGTTAGAATTAATTTTTTTTCTAAATAACTTATTATTAAATAATATATATATATATAGGAATCAAAAAAAGATGATGGTGGTTTACCAAAACAAATTGGTAACAAAACTGAATGTGCTTTATTAGGTTTAGTACAGCAATGGGGTGGATCATATGACAGAATTCGTCAGGATATTCCTGAACAAAAACTCGTTAAAGTGTATACATTTAATTCTGCACGTAAAATGATGAGTACAATTATTCAACGTAATGATGGTTATAGAGTTTATACAAAAGGTGCATCAGAAATGGTTTTAACGAAGTAAGGAAAAAAAGATTTTTAAAATATCTTTTTCATTGCTTTTATTTATATTTTTTTTTTGTTTCTTAAAGATGTAAATCGATTATTAATGAAAATAATCAATTAAAAGAATTAAATGATAATGAAAAAAATCGTTTAACACAAGAGGTTATTGAAAATATGGCAAATAATGGCTTGAGAACAATTTGTATTGCTTATAAAGACCTTGGAAAAGAACAACAAGATTGGGAAAATGAAGATAACATCGTTAATGATTTAATTTGTATTGCAATTGTTGGTATTGAAGATCCTGTTCGCAGCGAAGTAAGATAATTTATTGACAAAGAAATAATAAAACAAAAAAAGGTTAATTCAGTTTTATTCTTTTTTTTGTTTTCTATTTAGGTACCAGAAGCTATTCAAAAATGTCAACGAGCAGGTGTTGTTGTTCGAATGGTAACAGGTGATAATATAATGACAGCTCGTTCCATAGCAACAAAATGTGGTATAATCAAACCCAATGAAGATTTTCTTATACTTGACGGAAAAGAATTCAATAAACGTATTAGAGATTCATCTGGAAAAGTTAGTAGAACAAAACGAATATATACGTATATATATATATTTACAATTTATATATTTAGATTTCAC